CCCCAAAACCCCAAAACCCCAAAACCCCAAAACCCCTTTTATTTTTTGCAAAATTGATACCAATATAGTTTCCCGATAAAATCTAACTGTTGTAATAAGTCTCCTCATCAGATTTGTTCTCAAATGGTCCTGGGATGAATTTGATGGTTTTGACTTCAGTGAAACCCTCGCTTGTAGTAGGTACCACACACTTCTTAAAGAAGGTATGGATAATCACATTTCCAACCTTCTTTGATAAATGGTTCCTGTTTGAATTTACTTTCCTTTGCTCGTTATTGTGCATACAAACATTTTTCTCAATGTCAAAGTAGAAAGCTCTACAAGGAACTTTTCATTCTTCAGCTATTGAAGTGTATCTAGCTCTTGTAGCAGGGTCAGGGTTTGTATTATCAATTACACAGCTCTTGCCCTCCTTCAAAGCTTGTCTAGCTACTTTCATGCACTTTTCCTTAGTCTTGAGTGTATCATTATTTACTCTAACGTAATCTTTGAGATAGTTGTTCCAAAAAGTTGACTTTCCAGCTCCAGGAGATCCGACGAGAACTATCATCTCTTGCTTTTCACTGACATATTTCTCTTCTTCTCCAGTGGGAGATTTTCCTTCCAAAGATTTCAAAGTCTTGATGTCAAATGCAAGAGGAGGTAACTTCTCTTTCTTATTTTGGAAGTACATCTCAGGAGTGTAGAACTCGACTCCGACATTGATTGCAAACTTTCTGTCTCCGTCACTGAAGTCTTTCTTTCTGTTCTTACCCTTTGGTCTTCCAGCAGCATCTCCACAGTAAAATGATTGGGATTTATCAGGCTCAACTCCATCATTGCAATTATCTACAAAGTATTTCCACATCCCAGTGTTGGGCTTACGGTTGGCATCCTTAGAAGTAGCACAAATAGCTTGGAATGGAATCTTCAGACTTTTATGAAGCTGAATAAACTTCCCCTTAAGTGTCTTGGGGTCAACTTTGCCCATTTCAATCCCCGCCTGATTACTAAAAATCACAATCTTAAACCCATCCTCATGAGCTTTGGCTAACTTCTTAGGAACTTTCTCATCCCACCAGACCCAATCACTCGAATTCTTCGCAAAAATAGCCCCTGATTTCGTATTGATCAGTGTAGAGTCCATGTCAAATCCTGCTATCTTCTCACTTCCCTTAGCTCCAAAATCTCCAAACAACACAGTACCTACACCACATTGACACTTAAAAGCTTACCATCAGTCTTCCACTCCTTCAAATCCTTAGCTTCTTCTATTTCCTTGTTCTCCTGCTCCTGTTCCTTATCAGCTATGCTCTGAAGTCTCTTCGACTTCGTTGCTGTCTCTTCCTTACTTGCCTTTCTCTTTCTCCCAATCTAAAGCTTGAGACATATCTTACTGTTTCCATTTTTAATTAGTATAAAATCTTATTCCAGGCTAATATATCACAATTTTTCAGAATTTAACAGGGGTTTTGGGGTTTTGGGGTTTTGGGGTTTTGGGGTTT